ATTTAAATATTCTCCATGTTTAAACTCCAGATTAATTTAAATATTCTTCATGTTTAAACTGCAGATTAACTTAAATATTCTTCATGTTTAAACTCCAGATTAATTTAAATATTCTCCATGTTTAAACTGCAGATATCCCGTTGTTTTCTGAGCAGATGGAGAACATGAGTTCAGATCTCAGCCTCTTGTACCTGATGACGACTCCTTTGTGCATGTAGATGTTGATGAAGTGTGAGCCGGTGCAGCCGTTGGACTCCCAGTAGGTTTTGGGGTTCTTGTCGGTCAGTTTGTTAGCTCGATGGTGATTGGATGAAACCTCCACCTTCTCCCAGCACTTGTCCTCCTTGAGTTCCACGCTGGAGCCTGAACACAGCACGTTATCTTCATTTTAAATTACAGCATTTACGACTTTATCGGATGTTGAGTGAGAAAAAAAGATGGATGGTTGACTGTGAACCGACCTTGGCAGAGGTTCCTGAGGAACACGTCGAAGAACGGGATGTTGATCGGCTGATGGCTGCGGCGATGCTCCTCGATCTGACCCAAGACCAGCTGACAGGAAACAGAAGTATTGATCAACCTTAGAGGCTCTCTGTGGGTGATGATGAATAGTGGTTCCTTCCAGGTCAGATTGTATTCTGCGTACCTGGATGCATCCGGCCAGCACGCTGGTGGTCATCTTCTTGTAGAGGCTGGCGTACTTCTCACAGTCGGCGATGAGGTCTCTGAGCTCGGTGACCTGCAGCAGGTTGGTGCTGTGTTTGTCCAGAACTTTAACCAGAGCCTCTTTGGTCCCCAGGCGACACATCACCACCGTGTAGTCCTTGTTCAGGGACGCCAGCCGGTACAGGAACCGGATGAACAGCTGGACCACCTAGAAACAACCAAGCACAAGGGGGGGTTAGCGTAGAACCCAGAGGCGGTCTCAGCGTGCCCCCCCCCACCTCCTCCTCCTGGTCTGAACCCACCTCTCTGTCGCTGATGAAGGCCGTCATGGAGGACAGGCAGGGCTCGATGCTCTCGTGCCACGGCAGCATGTCCTCCTGGTAGTTGTCTAGGAACTTGTTCAGGATCCTGTAGGAGACAAAAACAGCCAATCAGACGAGCTCCGCATCATCATCATCACCGTCGTCGGGTCGGAGGTCACAGGTACCTGAGGATGGACAGCTGGACTGCCCGGTCGGCTCGGTGCTGCTCCATCAGACGGACCAGATCCTGATAAGTGTCCCGGTTGTGAGTCACCTGAGATGACGACATCATCAATATGAGGCGATAAAATCAACATCGCCGATCGGATCAATACCTCTGAACATGAATGGATCAATAAGTGGACCAGTACCTGGCTGCGCTCCTCCAGCTGAGAGGTGTCGTCACACAGCAGCTGCTCCAGAGTCTGGATCACCTCCTTAGTGGCCGTCAGCTCCTTCAGACTCACCACCACCATCTGCAGCTCCGTATCCTTAAAGTCCAGCTGCTCATGACTCTCTGAGCACCACAGAAGAAGAAGAGTGGATTATAGATCAGATTGTAGAAAGATCGTAGAAAAGTATGAAAGCATAGCCATTATAACCTGTAACCCTTTTGATTTCAAAGTATAACCAGCACAACATCTAGCATGTTTACACTTTTTATAACCATCATAATGTGAATTGTTTTATTTTATGATAGCTGTGATTTAACATATAAACTGTTTAGAGTTAGACACTTTGTTTAAAATAGTCACTTGAGCCTTACAGTGCTTCTGGTTCTAGCAGGATCAAACCAGTTACCACCAGTTACATTCTGTGTCAGCTCTAGAGAGAGGAGGACTCATGTGTGTGTGACACATGAAATGAAGGAGGTGCCAGCCTTAGAGCAGCATAAAAAGCAGCAGAAAACAGTGAGAAAATAAGACCCCTTTTCTGTCTTACCCACTTAGAGGACAGAAGACGCTTTTGCTATCAGAGGATAGCATCAAAAGGAAAGATAGACCCCCCCATAAAAGTAGGAATGTCAGAGAGCTGACTGGAGAATACCTCAGTACAAAATCAGTGAAGGCTGACAAAGAGGAATGCTAGAATTAGTTCTTGTAGCCACTGTAACCGTTTCATTGAATTGAAATTGTTGTATGTGAATCTTGTGTGAAAACCAGAAATAAAAACACAGCCTTACATTTAGTAAGTGACTGAAACCAAAACAGTGTTCTGGTCCTTTAGAACAGTTTAACCCTCTCCCCCTGTCCATTAACGGTGCGATAAGATGTGACGACTGAAACATGCAGAGGAGCTGAAGGTGAGTTCTCTGGGTGAAGACTTGGCAGTGTTAGTCATAAATGGTGAGAATGTTCACAATAGGCAATAGTAAAGTATAGACGATGTACATAACTATTACATACAGGGTGTTAGGGTTACATCCCATTGAGAGCGCCGAGGGCATTAGCCCTAAAAGACTTTCAAGAAGACAATTAATTCCGAAATCCTAACTATTTAGCTACAGGGTGAGATAAAAGGCCGAAGGTATTGTTCCGAGACCTCCAGGAGGAACGTATATCCTCGCAGGTGGGACAGCCGACGGAGTAACCACTGTGTTAGGTGCGAACTACTTCCCCGCCTTGAAACGGGGCAGGAGCCGCTCACGCTACAGTATACAATTAAATACCTGGTGTCAATATGACGGACGTGGAAATGATTGGGATTATTAAATCAACACATGATATAGTGTTGGTTCTGTTGCCCCCTGCGGACTAAAGTGGTCGTGTCTCTGAGCACCAGAGTCTCTTTAGAAAACCTCTCATTCTACTGCAGCAGGGTCTGACAGTCTGACCCTCTCAGTCCTGGTTCAGGTTCTTCTGTGACTTCCTTCCCTCCAGCGGGTCCAGCAATACGTCCTGGGTCTCCAGCAGACAGGAGAAGCTCTGCTCCTGGAGGAAGAGGAGGAGGAGATGCTGCTGCTGCCGGGAGGTGAGCTCTCCTCCTCCCTCCGGAGCTCCTGGATCTGGGTCTGTCCACGGTGGACCGGTCTCTGCTGGAGGCCCCGCTGGAATCTGAGCTGAAGGAGTTTAACTATATAGAAATAGACCATCTTCTCGCTGATGCTTGTTCATATAGAGCAGAGGTCTTCAACAGGGGGTCCGCGACCCCTAGGGGGTCCGCGGAGGTACTGCAGGGGGTCCGCGGAATGTTTGGATGATTAAACAAATTTTTTTTTCCCCCCAAAACATGAATGTGTCCATTATTGTAATAGTTCAGTTTTGTATGCAAGATAACAGGTATGTTTATGCATGGCAGTGGCACTAATAGGCCATCACTCATTTATCGTTTCCACATTTATGTTTAAAATGAAAACATCCATTTGAATAGCTTGCATGATGATTATCATGCAATTAACAGACAATGTTGATGTTGGCATTGGTATCAGCTGACAAGTTATGTTTATAAATGGCAGTGGCACAGCCCCCTACTCACTGTACCTTGCACATGTTTAAAATAACAACATGAATATATGGACCTGTGTGTTATTTGAATAGCTTAGTATTGAATGCACAATAAAGAGGTATGTTTATACATGGCACTAGGCCCAGTTTAATATAAAACACAACTTAATACAATATATATATAGTCGGGGGTCCTGCTCAATCTCTCTATCAGTTTGGGGGTCCTTGGCCTGAAAAACATTGAAGACCCCTGATATAGAGGATCAGGACTACACCGAGACTGGTTCAGATAAAGATACAGTTGACTGTGTGGTCATGTGACTGTGAGGTCATGTGACTGACCTTTGCTCTCCAGCTTGTGCACCATGGAGATGTGGTTGAGGGCGATGATGGCCAGCATGGTCTCTGCACTGGACAGAGTGAGACACTTCTTCAGGACGGAGGCAACGCCGGCGGACACCAGCTGCTCCGCCAGACTCTTGTGGTTGGAGATAAGCATGATGACCACCAGCAGGCCGCTACGCACCGACAGCAAGCAGCTGGAGATCAGAGGAGGACCGAGAATCAGTAAAAAAAAGGGGGGATTCATCGAAAGGGAGCCGAAGGCGGCAACTTACCCTTTAGTCTGCAGCATGAGGCCGATGGAGGTAACTTACCCTTTAGTCTGCAGCATGAGGTCGATGGAGGTAACTTACCCTTTAGTCTGCAGCATGAGGCCGATGGAGGTAACTTACCCTTTAGTCTGCAGCATGAGGCCGATGGAGGTAACTTACCCTTTAGTCTGCAGCATGAGGCCGATGGAGGTAACTTACCTTTTAGTCTGCAGCATGAGGCCGATGGAGGTAACTTACCCTTTAGTCTGCAGCATGAGGTCGATGGAGGTAACTTACCCTTTAGTCTGCAGCATGAGGTCGATGGAGGTAACTTACCCTTTAGTCTGCAGCATGAGGTCGATGGCGGCAGGGACGGCTCCCAGCAGGCCCTTGGAGCCTTCGGGCGTGGCCGAGCCGATGCTGGCGAAGATCTCCAACATCATCTGAGTGCCGGACTCGGAGAGCGGGAGGCTGCTGCTGCCGACGCTGTGCAGGTCGTGTTTACTGGCTCCAGAGATTACCTTCAGAGTCTGACAACAACAACAACATCAAACATTTAACACACGTTTCTCTCCACTTAGACTTGAGTAGATATGAGGAAGGAGGTCTCACCGCGAGCGCCAGCTGCTGGACGTGAGTGACGGTGGAGAACTCCTGCATGCAGGACAGGACGGCTTTGACTCCGCCCTCGGTGGCAAAGGAGACCCTCCACTCGTACTTCAGCATGAGGAGGTGGGTGAGTCTTAGCGTGCTGACCACCAGGTCTTTGGAGGACGAGCCCAGCAGCTCCACCAGCAGCTTCAGCACCTTGTCCCTGAGGGGGGACGGACAAACACCAACACTGAGCATCAGTCGGGACTTTGGTACCCAGAGATACTGTCTATTACCCTCCGGCTCTGTGTATTTCCTGGAGTGTTTTACCGATGAGCCCCGTCTCTGTAATGGATTCTCACCGTATGGTCTGGGCGGAGTCGCTCCTCATGGAGTTCTTCTCCTGGACCCCCTTCTCCCCCAGCAGCCTGGTGACGAAGAGGACAGCGGCCAGCTGCTGGACCTGGTCTGAGCCCGACCCCCCCTTCTTCAGGACGTCCACCACCTCCCCCAGCTTCTCCAGCACTGTCTTCTTACCCTGGACCCGAGGGTTGTTGAACACTGCAGGGGAGGACAGGACAGCAGGTCTACAGACGGTCCCCTAATCAATATATTTATTTATCTAAGGAATCTCCTTACCTTTCATCTTGTCCTCCAGGTCTTCAGGGTAGATGCTGTCGTCCTCCGAGGGCAGCTCGCTCTCCGGCTCCGGGCTGCCACAGCCTGAATCAGCAGGAAGTTCCTTCTTTGCCTTCTTGGAGACGGAGCCCATCGCTGAGGAAGAAGAGGTGGAGGCTGATGATGAAGAGGAGGAGATCTGTCCCCCACCACCACCTCCTCCACCCAGACCGGACGAACCCAGAGAGCTTTCAGCTGGAAACAAAGCACAGTCAGAGTCATGGACATCTCTATATATCACTGCTTTATATATAACCAGAGATGTCTCCGTGTGTCCTCACTGCTTTATTTTATT